TAAACTCTATCTGTCTGCAATTGTCCTGATACCTGTACATCTTTTTGCCAAGGATCTGAATAGAAACAATACCTTAACATAAAAAGTGCTTTAGTCAAACAGTAAATCTTGGAGAACCCCCATCAGCCCTGGGATGAAACAATCCTTTATTCTAACTTTGCTGTTATGCAAATAATTTAATAAATTTCTAACCTTTACAGATAGAATATGTAAACTGCACCTCCTTACAAACAGGGTTACCTCACCTTCATTCCCTCAATTCAGTAGAAAATAAACAGCACAGTAAGAAATGTAGGGATGTCAGTTTGTTTGTGTATACTTTGGTATCCTCTTTGTAGTATGCGCAGGTTGGGTTAATCGGGCAGGTGTTCTCTTCTTTATAGTTTAAATACTTACTTTTTGTATCTATAACTCAATGAAACCACAAATTTTTAATAGCCATTCACCAAGCCAGGCCAAAAATGAAGGCTAAGTTAAAGCAGAAAGGATTTTGCAGGTACAGAGACTCTGATACAAAGCACAGTTAGAAGTTAGTGCACATGCACTAACAAGCAGACGAATGCTTCTGCCACTACAGCTCACTCTAAGAGTCTCTTGTTTCTGCTGCCACAGATCGAATATATTCAAGTACCTAAGCACAGTCTTGTGGGTGGAACTCCATCCACTCTCAGCAATTTTAACAGCACAGCTATTCCAGTCACACATCGTGACTCATCACGTTCCTCCTGGCAAAAGACTGTACTCCAACTGGAGAAATGCTGCCAAGAGGTTATGTTTGATTTGGGACCAAGAGAAAAGAAACCACACAAAAGTTGAAGTAAATTCTCCAGGAAATACTACAATCAAGGTCAAAAACTCCATAAGTAGGATGAAATACCCCTCCCCTCAATGCACAAAACTGCTGAATTTCATTACACAGTTCTTGGGGATGCTAGTAAGTTATGCCTTGGTTTTCTTCTGCTCAAAATTCAGCACATCAACATGGTCGACTTATAGCGAGCATTATCTAAACATTGACATCATTCAAACAGAACCTCTCCAGGATTGTGCAGGAATGCCTCACCCTTATACCAGTACCAGATAAACATCAAATCCTATTTATTCCACAGTCTCTTACTTCAACACAGAAGGATGTAATTCATACCCGATGTGACTTCGAAAGGTATTTCTGAAATCTTAAGGCAGTGAAAATAGAATAAATTGAGTTTTACTAGAGTGAAACTGGATCAAAAGAGAGGTCATCTTCAAATAGTGATAATGAACCTTAACTACATGCAGTCTTGTACCCTCCTGCTGTTTGACTGTATAGAATTCAGGCACTGAAGATAAAAGATTTTAACTTACATATACAGTAAACTACACATTTTATCAACTATTAGGTCTTTCAAATAGCAGGGAAGAGAGCTCCCAAAGGCACTGCTGACATCATGCAAGTCATCTAGTAAAAGTGATCCAGCCTATAAGATACACAGTGAAAACTTTTGTATCTGAAACATCACTTCAGAATCTCACAAGACCAGAAAGCTCTCTGTGTTTCAAAAAGAGATTAAATGTTAACTCCGTTGGTCTCTTTTGTCTGAAATTCACTCTTTCTATGAAATTCGACACCACACAAAGAGCCAGAATCAGGATTAAGGATCTCATAAACCCCATTTAATTCCTTAAAAAGGCTTCTGTGCAGAAATGAATTCCAGTCTCTGAGAAAAGTTGTACTATTCACAAAAGTGGGGGTGGGCGCTTTAGAATTACTATGAAAACTCTGTGCTCCAGGAAACTTTTTAGGCTTTTTTTGGAAACATACTTCTTCTAAATGGAGATGCATGTTCTTTAAAATAGGCATTGAAAATGGAATCTTAAAATGTTTTCCCTTAAAAAATTATAGCCATTAAAGTAAATTTCTCTGTTGCTACTGATTAAAGAGTGATAACAACAAAATCACAAGAACCAGGTCAAAGTCAGCCAGCAGCTACAAGGGCTTTTGGGCAGGCTTACCATTTGCAGGGATTCTCCCTAAAATTCGAGTAATAGTCTTCTATTGACAAGAAATAGGAGGCAGAGTAATGCAAGATAGTGAGTCCCCTGTAATATGTTCTTCATGCATCTTACAGGAGGTTGAGCTCAAGGATGACAAACAGAAAGAATAAAAGAAAAAAAAAAAAAGAGAAGATGACTTTATATTCAATTTCTGCACTTCAGGTACAGTTTTACTTGGGGACCTCCCTGTGAGTGCTAGCAGCTCTTTCTGGTGATAAAACTGTTACTGTGTGGTTAATTTATGTCTCTAATGCATAACATAAATGGACTGAGCAGTGCATTTGGTGAAGGGATGGGGAGTCTCTGGATATGTAAGCTGGTGATCAGTAAAAAGTCCCTTTGAAGGAACTGCTGAAAATTTATTTCAAATGCATTAAAGCTCATCGTCATGGGTGTCACTGCCTAAACCTCTTGTCAAACTCAGAGGTGGTTTGCCACTTCCACTCTAACATGCTGTTGAACTATTGCAATCTGTCAGAGAGCAAGAGCAGCTTTGGTGCCTGTGCCAGTCCCAGCCAGACTGAACCTCATCATAAGTTTAAAAGTCAAAGAGTTTTCTAAGGTTCTTGTATTTGTTTTGGTTTTTTTTCTTTTTTCCAGTTGGGGTAAGTTCCAACACTACTATTTGGGCATGAGCCAGCTTAATGCTCAGTATGCCTGGGAGTCATGGGGCATTTGCAAACACTGCACTACTGCAGGAAACAGTCCCTGGGAACTGTGGGCTTTGAGCTTCCCATTGCTTACCTTAGGGAAAGGAGAATACCCCAAGCAGGAAGGGTCTGTTTTGTGGAAGGAATGTTCATATAACCCTGTACATCACTGAAACCCAGAAGAGCTAAAGCTCCAGAGAAACTGCAATGTGAACACAGCAACAGCCAGACAACTAACAGACCAGCTGGAAAGCAGCAGAGAAAATACTCAGTGGCTAAAGCAGCCAGCAACAGAAGGGGTTACTGGGGGCTGCCACTTAAAATAGATGTTCCAGTGTAATAATTTCTCTATTATCTAAAATCACATGGGACTGGAATACCCCAGTAAAATATAAAATTCTGTACTGGGGAGATGCTTCCGCCATCACATGGCATTGTAACTTCACAAACTCAGGAAAAATGCTGTGGTACACAAGAAAATCAACTGCATTTATTTTCTAGGAGACAAATGAGTTTTCTTAATGTGTACAGAACATATTAACATACTTAGAGAGGAGTTTTAAAGAAAATTTGTCTGTTTGGAAAACTTCTGTCTTTTGACTGAATTTTGCTCCTAAAATCTAAGGTGGCACAGGACCCCATGCTGTAGACTCCCCTGGGACTGGGGCTCGCCTGAAAAATCATCAGAAAAATCAGGATGTAAGCATTGTGAATAGTAAGAACTTTTTGCTGTCCTTCAGAAGCCAGCATTCATAACTGAAACTCTTCATGTCATTGAAGTAGGAAAAAAAATGTATTTACTGGATATTCTCTTTAGTTACGTACAATATTTTCATTGTAATTATGTTATTTTACGTCTGCTGTACTACAGGAGTAAAACTACCAGGACTCCTTCATGCCTTCTGTCACAAGGTGGCGACGTTGGAAGCAAGAAACGTGATGGAGACCAGGGACAGAGCAGCACCCTGAAATGATGACTTGCACTACACTTTGGAGAAAATAATTAATCATGGGTAAATTCTGATCCGTGTATTTATGTGAAAACTCACGTACTGACTTTAAATGTAAAGCAATTTAAAGAAATTCCAGCCCAGCACTACAAATTCCCTAATGCAACATAATCCTTGAATTATAACCATTATATAAATATAAATATTTTGGTGGGAATTCAGCACATCTGTGCACACCTTTTCACCATATCAAATTCATTATGTAAATAAGATGAGAAATAATTGTCTTTCAAGGATTTCCTCTCCTTAAGGTTTTGTTACCAGCTATTTTTAAAGAAATATATGGAAGCAATTAAAAGATCTTGTTAAAAGAGTTCTAAAGTATGTCAGCAGAATGAGTTCCAAGGTAACAGCAGTTTTCTGCCACCGACCAAGCAAAGCAGAGAAAATTTAAGGCACGGATCTTGTTATTAAAATGCATCTGTAAGCTTATTAGGTCTGAACAGAATCCAGCATCCTATTCAAAGACGCTTTATGCAGAAACCAGCAGAAGCTCATTATTCACAGAATGATGGGATCGTTAAGGCTGGAAAAGGCCTTGAAGATCATCAAGCCCAACCACCGGCCCAGCACCACCACTGTCTTCACCACTAAAACCTGTCCTGAAGTGCTGTATCCACACATCTTTTGAACGTTTCCACCACTTGCCCGGGCAGCCTGCTCCAATGCCTGACCATCCTTTCAGGGAGTAATTTTTTCCTAATGCACGACCTAAACCACCCCTGGCGCAACTTGAGGCCATTTCTTCTTGTCCTATCCTTCCTACGCCCTCCTTTCAGGCAGTTGTAGAGAACGATAAGGCCTTCCCCAGCCCACTTTGCTCCGGGTTAAACACCCCCAGTTCCCTCAGCCATCCCTCACAAACCCAGCGGCTTTGCTCCCAGGGCTACCGAGGAAGCTCCTGTGGCGGGGGGGGGGGGGGGGGGGGGGGGGTGCCTCATACCAGCGGCGCTCCCTGCCAGCCCCGCTGGGGAGGCGTCGTACCCCCAAGCCCACGCAGACATTTCCCGGGAATGCACTGAAGACGGACACAATTAAAACACCACACGATAGCGCCACCTAAGACCTCCGTGTGAACCGCAGGGAAACCGCCGAGGCGGGACTCGAACCCACCACCTTCCGGTTCGCCAGGCCACTGCGCGCCAACACAAACATAACCCACCTCCCGACCCCCACCGCGGCGTGACTGCACTTCCGTAAACATCGCTGCGAGATGAGTGACAGGCGCGACGGCCAATCGCAATGTCGGAGCGGTGGAGGGGGCGGGAGCCCGCGCGCTGTGGCTGAGGAGGCGCGCGGCGGGAAACGGTGGCGCGCGAGCCGTGGCGTCCTGAGCTGGAACGGCCCCGCAACCGCCCCGGAGCCGGCAGCGCCGCTTCAGACCTGATTGATTCCTTCAGCGCCGCTTCAGATCTGATTGATTCCTTCAGCGCCGCTTTAGATCTGATTGATTCCTTCAGCGCCGCCTCAGATCTGATTGATTCCTTCAGCGCCGCCACACCGGGCGCGGGCGTTCCTGCGTGCCTGGAGCGAGGTGCAGCCTCTCGGGAAGTTGCTGTGCGTGCTGAGTTTTGTTTGGTGCTGGTTTCCGCGTGAGTCTCTTACTGGCGCTGATAAGTCATAAGCTTATAGTGCAAAATGTACTCTTTTTTTTTTTTTTTTCCCCTTTTGAATGGCACCATGTAATAAGTGGTTTGTTCTACCAGCTTATATTTAGGTGTGCTGCTACAGCCTTCCGATGGGGGTAAAACCAGCTGTCAAGAGATACGAAACAAGAAATAAGACGGAAGTGCCATCATCCAAATCCCGAGTCGATTGGAGACGCACTAGAAGGGTGCTCATACTGCTTGACAGCAATGACGAATCCTCAGCCACCTCTGAGGAGGAGTCTACCACATCAGAAAGTGAAATAGATGAGAAAGGTCAAGCGGCTGTGAAGAACAACCTTTCAGATCAGGAGGAGAAAGGCCGGAGTGGGGAAGTAACAAAAGATGGTGACGATGAGTGCGTTGTGCCTGGGAAGCGTAACAGGTTGAGCGCCTCTGTCATGTATGACAGTGATGAAAGCGAGGGCAGTGACATACTTGTTAGAAAGGTTTCTGCCAAACGCCGCTGTATACTGGATGACGATGAGAGTTCTAAAGAACAGCAGCCTGATAAAACATACCCTACAGAGAATGTTTCTACTAGTAAGAAACAGAAAGTGCTCGAAAAATTGAAAGAACTTGTAAAACAAAGCGCAGCTCGGAGATCCTGCAGCACTGCAAATTGTGAGGTCAGGGTTTTGTCTTTGAAATTTAATTGGAGCAGGTATTTAATGTGAGGAAAGGTTAAGCAATACAAATTAGTGGGATTTTTTGGGTTTGAATGCATGACAAATTAGTAGTTCTGTAATATTTTAACAGTCACATTAACTGGTGAAAATCTATCAAATTAATTTTATCAGGAAGCAGAATACCTGCCGAAGTGTCTTGGAGATTTCATGTTAGCTTAATTCCTAGAAGTAGACTGAAAAGAGGTACATGGAAATAGCTATGTTAAAGCTGAAAATAATTGCTATCTAGTACAAAATTATATATATTTTTTTGGAAATATGTGCTTTCCTGTTAATTGAATAAATGGTGTTATTAGATGGTCAAAAATCTTAGCTGGTGTATGTAGTATTTTGTCTGTGCAAATACTGAAAATACTTGTATTCTAAAAACTTTTAAATTTTTAAATTTAATTAGGATTCTAATAGTGAAGAAGCAATGGAAGAGGAACCACTCTGTCAGCTGCCCCTCATACCATCAGAAGGTAGTGAAACTGATGGTGACAGCTTAAAGGATTTTGTAGTAGAGGAAGACAGTGATGATGATGACATTGGCAACCCAGAGCATGTGAAGAGTCAAAATCAGCCACATCAAAAGCAACCAAATCCATCAAACAGTGAGCTGCTGGCACACTACATCCCACAGTGTAAGATCAAAATTAGTGGTAATTCTTCATGTATAACTAGCTTGTAGAATTGTAATAAAATTTAATGGGCTAAGTACAAATATTAAGGAATAGAATGTGATACTTAAAATCAGATCCCTAAAAGGTGTCAATTTATTATGAAGGCATTTTGATTTCCACAGTAAATTTCTACAGTCTTTCGGTATCAAATTAAAGGGAGGGTATAAGTTGCACAATTTTTTTTTTTCAGTTGGTGTGATTTGGGATGAAGTAGGCTGCCTATGATGCATTCATTCCTGTGGAGACCTGAAAGCATCATCCTTCATCCTACAATCTTGTGGTTTATGCTAAGACCGGCTATGTTAATCTGTCCAAATTCTGTTTTCGCTATGAGTTTGGGGCTTGGGATTTTATTTCTTGGATTTTTTTTTTTTGGTTGGTTGGTTTTTTGTTATGTTTTGGGGTTTTTTTTTATGTATTTTTATTCTGTGGTGATAAGACTTGTGACCAGAGGTCTAGAGGGGTTTCTGACTCCACTGGCCAGTCTCAGCTGAATTACACAGAGCAAGAAAACTCTTCAAGGTGTTCTTTTATGAAAACCAATTTCTGGATGGAGCAGAGAGATTTGAAGCAGGACCTTATGCAAATCTTTTTTTCTTCCATATTTTGTTGTTCGGTTGTAGGTATGTAGTGACAGCACAGTCACTGCTAGTGTAGGTAATTACAAGCATTTGTGGTATTTCTTCCCCAGTGAAGACTGTGTTCCCAGCAGAACTGTGTTTGAAAGAAAAGAAATGAACACAAGGAACAAAATGCAAGCAAAACACCAATGACCGCAGCATAAGCCTGGGCCTTCTCTGATTTACATTATTATCTGCTATTTGTAGAACAAATGATTCGCTTCTCTTTGTGTTTGTACTTATTGTGGACTCCTCTTGCTGGAAGTGCATGTAACTTTAGGGTGCTAAAATTCTGTAGGATCCCAGGGATGAGAAGCACAATTTAAAGGCAAAATCCTGTGGGTGTGGGTGTTGTGCATTAAAATAATTTCTAAATCTATATTTAAATAACTTTAAAATTCTAAACTTACAATGGAGAAAAAAAATTCTTCTTACAGGACTTCTAACATGGCATACTTTTTTTTTTTTTTCTGATTTTTTTTCCTTTTGGTAAATTTTGGTTGTATTGCTTTCTTCCCAGTATCTCGCTGTGATCATTATGTACACTTCAAAAGAATAGTAAAGGCTTTCCTCATAAATGCAATTGATGACACTTTTCTGAGCTCATTATATGGTAAGTAAATTGCATTAAATAATATATTCATGCATTCAGAGTTGTACAAAGCCATTTACTGTAGGGAAGGGTGTTTCTCCTGATTAGGGTATAGAACTGAGGGTCCTGAAATCTGTGGTTTTCCTGCTATATAGCTTTGGTGGGGGAGAGCAGAGGGGACTACCAGAAAATGATACAGTAGTCTTGGAAAAATGTGTAGACTTAATTCTTGAGCACAGAAGGCTTAAACGCCTTCTTGAGATGTAGGAATGTGTTTCTGTGTTACTAATCAGTAGTAACCTTTCTAGCATGAAATCCAAATTAATTTCAAAGCAGATATCTCAATGAAAACATTGCAAGGTCAGCTGGTTTGTCAAAATCTCTTGTGCTTCACAGTTTTTTTTCTTAGGAATTTGATAGATAATAAATGCTTTTAGTTATGGAGATGACTCTACATCAGATTTTTTTTTTTCCTTTTTTTTTTTTTTTTTAATCACATCAGATAAATAAGCTTCAGCTACAGTCAGTACTTGTCTTATTCTTTCTGAGGAAGTGCTTTTTGGCATTTGGCCTAGCAGGGCTGAATAACAGCCTCACACATAGTTTCATAAGCACTATAAAGATGGGATTAAGGAGAGGACTCTCAGTGTCAGATTGTGGAAGGAGTCAGTAAAGTGCCAAGGTTTTGATGTCATCAGGAATTAAGAGGGAATGGAGAAACTGAAGTACACCACAGACCTCAGAATAAAGGTTCTATACTCTTGGACCTAAAAATGTCTTTCATCTACCGCTGCTGGTTCTTTCAGGTGTTTGGTTTGTTTTGTTTCAACAAGTAAAAGCAAGCCTTTGAAAAGTAGTAAGTAAACACTGCCAGATTAATGTTGTTATAACTTCCTTCTATTTCAAATTATATCTGCTCAATAAAATGCAACAATTTATTGCTAAATTGCTGGAAGTAAATGAGTACTGCGGGTGAGCTGGAGGTTGTACATGAACATTGTATGAACATAGACTAGCATTACAAAAATATATTTTTATAATATAGAGTGGATTGTTCTGAATTAATTGAAGTGAATCCCTTCATTAGTTTTGACTCAAAAGCAGCTACTGTAGTATTTGAGTTCACACTTGTTTTTTATTAGGTAGGATTTTGTTTTGTGGTCTAGCACAGCCTCTTCAAGCTCCTACTGCAAATGTGTATGTAAAGTGAATATGGAAAAACAGTTAATTGCAATTATGGTTGCTAAAATGACAGTTAACTACTTTAAAAAGCTAGATAGACAGTGGTCCTTCTCAGGTCTATTTTTTTTTTTTTTTGGATAATAGCTAGCTGAATTAAGTTCTGTACACACTGAAGTTCCAGGGCAGTATGCATTGGCCTGCATCTAAGGAAGTCCTGTTTAATTTCTGGAGTCCAGCATGTATTTGGGAAACAGTAACAGTGGTAATTTTACTCATCCTCATGCTTTTTTATTTATTTTGCTTGAGTAAGTGTTTAGAAGTACATATGCTGCCTAATTCAAGGCATCTGACTGTGCTAGTGAAGGTCAGTTTCTCTGTGATCCTTATGTGATAGAGTTGTCAAAATTTCTGCTCTGAAGTAGCTCAGAGCAGTTTGTTTTCATGGATTCCAACACTTTTCTTTTACATTTTGAACAACTTAAATGAGTTGGTTGAACAGTGTGACATTCCCCCACATGCTTCCTCCTTTTCTATTAAGTGGGACTGAGTGAATTGATCTCCATTTGGGATGAGAGCTTTTGATTTGATTGTAGAGTTTATTCATGCACCCCTTTTGAATTATAAAATACATCCCTTTATGAAGATGTAGGGATTGCATGGATCACTTTTATGGGTAACAGTAGCAAATGTATTTGCAACTACACATATATGCTACTGTACCTATATACATATGCTATAAATAACAATTTAGTAAAATCATTCATAGTTCTTAGTATGCAGAAGCATATTGTCCTTGAAAATTTTATCTAAAAAACTTGTACAATATAGGGTGGTCAGCAGATTAGTAATGATTCTCACTGAACAGATGGAACGAGACAAAAGAAGTATGCACAAGATATGCTGCTCTCACTTCATTATTTGGATGACCGCTTCATTCAGCCTCGTCTTGAGAACTTAATCTGTAGAAGTCGCTGGAAAGATCGATACAAGGTGTGTAGATTCTACTTCAAATGCTGAAATTCTCTGTAAAGGTGCAACAATCACTTTAATTATATATCCTTTTTAATAACAACTATTGTTCTTTAACTTAATTTGTTTTGAAGCTTATGTAAATATCAGAAATAATTTACATGTTGATAACCAGACAAACATTCAGGTAGCAGAACAGAATCTGTTCTCAGCTACCTGAATGTGTCTCCTGCTAACTTCAACAGATGATGTTGGAGGATTTTTTTTTGTCACTTGCTAAATGTTCTAACAAAACTTTGTCCTCCTCCCATAAAAAGGTAAACAGTATGTTCGTCATGAACCTTCTACTACTACTACAAAAAATTAAGTCACTATAGAGCAATTACTTACTGTATGTATATTACTAGAAGAGTATTAGTGTCATGGGTGTGATGATTTAATAATCACTATAATAATGAAATTTGTCTCTCTTCCATTTTTCTTGGACTAATTTTGTGTGAGTACAGAATGCTCAGCAGCCTGCTTGAGGCATCATTCAGTTCACAGAGATTCTTTAATGTTATTTGGAATGTGTTTTTCAGGAGCGTGTGGATTGTTACCCAGATGTTCGCATAAGCTTGAAAAATACAAAAAATATGTCTTGTCAGGCCTGTGAATTGAAGCGGTGTTGTCGGTTCAATGTGTTGCTCTCTGGAAGGCTTTATAATAGTAAAACTATGGCAGTGGATGACTTCATGTCAGATGATAAACAGGTAATTTCAAACCAGCTCTCTATTTTTAAGTTTTTCTTTTATCAAGAAAATAAATCTGATTTTTTTTTTTTTGACCTTTGGTTTTGCCTGCATCACAATGACCTGTGTGCTGTTTCCTCCTCACATCTACCCCTTAATGAAAAAGCCTTTTACCTTAAGGGCCTGTAATGCCCTTAAGACTTCCCCAGCAGGAATCTTGCATTGTTTAGTGGTCAGAAACATGGTAAAAGTAACTTTCTGTATGACTTACAATCATTGCCATTGAATGATTGTGTTTTCTATTTTGCTGCAAGTAAGATTTGTTCAACATTGTGTCACTAGGTTTGCTAATTCTGTGCCTGCTCTGCCTCTAGCAGAGAGTTGGAGGGTCCACGTGCACTCCAACAGTTCTTGTTTGCTCTAGGTTCAAACATTGAGTGAAACAGTGCAATGGTCATCCTAGCAGTCCAAGTGCGACCTTACTTAATTTAGCAGAATTTACTGCTTCGTTCTTCAGAATTTTTTTCCCATATCTACTATTTCCCACGTAGCTCTACACTCAGGACAAATTATCTTGGCATCTCAGATGCGCTGACACTTGAAGCTGCTGATCTCCTTTCAAGAAAACTTGTTCCTACCTACATCAATACATTTTATTAGAGCCTTTTCCCCATTACTGCAGTATCGGAATTACTTGTCCAAACTAGAGGGCACTTCCATTTGGGTAGTCTTGCATCTATTTCTCTCTCAGTTTTCACTTCTAGAACATTTGGATTTTTATTTTTATTTTTTTTTTCTAAAAGGTATTTTTCATGTTGTTACATAATGTTCCGTTAAGCAGTCATTTTCACTTAAAATAATTTAATAATAGGCTAATACAATTTTATTTCACAGCTGAGCCTTTTGAAAACTTTGACTTTCAAGAACCTAGGTGTTTCTAATATTTAGACATCTTCTCTTCAAATTTACAGCTACATATAATTGTTATGATTAGGTATGCATATGACCTTCAGTAATGCAATTCATGACCTCTTATGATAAATTCAAAGCACATGATTTGTCAAGAATGAAATATTGCTACAGTTGTTTACCAAACTGATACCCAAGTTCTGGCTTTCTTCCCTTTCAAGAGACACAGATGGTATTTTATTTGTGAGTGTAAAAAAATTTTTGAACACAGCTAAAGTTCTTCACAGTATTTGTTGAAAATAAAGAAGTTTCAGAACAAGGGTTTTTTCAGTATATTTTATAGTGAGGTATAATAGGATTTCTTAAGTAAAAATAAAGTGAAGCCATTGTCAAACAGGGAGTATACCTTACTGAAGCTCCAATGAATTGTTTGGATATTTGCAAATTCCTTAACTTACAGATTTGAGAGGTGTCACTGTGATTATCATTTTGTCATCATGCAGGGCTCTGCATGTAATGCAAGAGATTGAAAATCTGTGCCAGAGTTTCTCTTATATTACAGACCCTTCTGAGCAGCAGTTGCTGATACTCTGTTTTGAAAATTATGTTTGTGCATGATAGTCAAGAAAGCTAGGCTTTTCCAGCAATGTTTTTTCCCTTTTTGATCCTGTTTTTTGCAGGAAAACAATAAGTCCTCTGCAATCATTCCAGCACTGATATTGCAGTCTGTCATAGTCATTCTTCCTTACATACAGATCACTAATTTAAAAATACTCAGTTTTTCATGGGAAGTGTGTGCCTTAGCTCACCAGAAATAATTAGTGAACTAGCACAAGAATTTAATCTTTACCTAACTTTCAGCTTAACTGTGGAAATAACAGTAGCAGTTCCCTCACCGCTGACCAAATGTTGTCCTGCATAAAGTGTTGGCTATTTTTTACTTTGGAAAAACTTGAAATATCCTATGGAATACTGAACTAACTTGCTAGTTCATTTTTGTCCTCTTCAGCTTAGCAGTACAAAATGAGAGCTTTTTTTACCCTGTGTACACCAGCATCTGGGGACGTCTGCTATGTGCCTGCTCAGTATAGCTCAGTGGCTGTTAAGCAGACTCAGGGGAGAGAGTAATTGAGCACTTTCCAGTCATTTTTGATAGTGTCTTGTAATGAAGCATTTGTGTTCTTAGGGTGACCTGTAGTTTAGACTGCTAAAAGTACTGTTCTCAAGTTGTCTTTAAAGCTCTGCTGGCAATGCATTGAGCAACTTGTCCTGCCAATTTAGAAAAAAAAATATAAAAGAAAAAAAGGCTCACAGAGCTACATAAAACTGCCATTTCACAAGCTTAATTGACTGATAGAGAAGGCAGTTCAGCACTGACAGATCAAATTGAACAGAAACACATAGTTGGACTATTTTCTATAGATTTGTTTGAAAATACTCGAGAAAAGTGGATGTGAAGAGAACAAAAACAGACCTCCAACCTCCTTCTTCTGCATAAAACTTTCCTTTTCTCTCATCTCTGAAGTATTCTGCTTTGCCAGTAGAAAGAGAAGAGAAACAGCTGTTCCAATTTTGCTTAGGCTTGCAGTGATTATTCACTGTGTAGGTGCCAATTCTCATTTCCCCCTGATCAGGGAGAATCACAAGGTTTAGAGATGTGTCCCCCACACTTACTTCCTTGCTCCTTACGTCACCTGGATTGTAAACTGTTTTCTACTCTCAGTCTTGGTGTTCTGTTTATAAACATGCTTAGAGGACATGGATTCAGTCACTACACGTTGTGCTATTGTCCAACCATGCTCCTGCATTCCATACAAAGTGATTTAACACAACTTTGGCTGATAGGGCCAGCTTGAGTAGATAAGTTAAGCATTAACACAGAGGGACTGAGAACTGTGAGGGGGAAAAAATTAGAGTGAGTACAGTACTGAGATTCTTTCCAAAGCTGCATTCTGAAATAGCATTGTATTTTTAGACTATCTTTCTTGCTTAAAAACACAATACATAGTTACATTTATACGATATTTAGCTATTTGCCTTTGGCATTTCTCCACATCACACATAAATAAGCTATGAAACTCACTGCCACAGGATATTTTGGAAGGGAAAAATAGTATTGGGTCCCAGAACAGATTAGACAAGTTCTTGGGGAAAGTTCTTTCACACTTTGGAGCATAATATTTGGGATGATACAGACTGTCTTAACTCTTAACTGCCAGAAAATGTGTGGTAATCTTATGATCATTCTAATGTTTGTGCAGGAACTTATACTAACTTTCTACATATCTCCTGCTAGCTGTTGTCACAGGGGAGAAAACTGGGCCATCAGTTTGATGCAAGATGGTATCTCCTATTTTATATCACATAATGTTCCAAATGCCACACCTCTTTGCTTGGGATACTTGAAAAATTGTGCAATGCTCTACAAAGCACTGCAGCTCAGTTCTTCATTGCTGCAGTATTTAAAATGGTGCTTCTGGAAATTTGAATTAATCAAGGCTCAGCATTAGTTTGTAGGTCTTACAGAAGCACTGGCCAGCACCAAACACAAGCCTTAGCTTTTTAGTTTTGGGAATACTAGAAAGTGGAGCTGTATATAGGTACAACATGTACATGATCAGTAGAGAATTAAAATATAGTAATATGCATTTTTTATCTCAAAATGTTTAAAATTTCAGTTAATAATCAGGTCAGATCAAAAGTTCTTTTTAGTGTGTGTGTCTCTTTTGACTTAACTGATACTATGCCTGGTGATAACCACTGAGCTGCTGGTTAATATATTTAAGAGATTAAGATATGTTCATATAGTTAAGAAAATGTATAACTAATACCTGTAAATTCTGTTAACATAAACTTTAAAAATACACTTCTCTGTTACTTTCATTGTTGGCTGGGTTGCACTAGTAGGTCAGGTGTTTTGGGGAACTGCTCACAGATGCAAACATTTGGTCATGCATTCAGAAAAGCTTCCTGAAAATGTGGGTTGTAAGCATTAATTAAAACTTAACCTTCCTGTAATTTGAGAGTATTCAGATTATTAGCAATAAAAGGTACCACTTTTATGGCTCAGAAGAAATAGTTTTACAACTTAAAATTTGGTTAATTAACATAGATATATATATGTTTGTGCGTGTAATGTAAAACAGCAATGCAACTGCATCTTGCATTCCAAATGCAGAGGACTTTAGCCATTTACATATTTGTTGTGGAAAGGTGTGACAAGACATCAGTCCAAAACAGTGTTGTCCTTGGAGGATAAGTTGATGAGAGTTTGGCTGGGTTTTCTGTTATTGTTGTTTGGTTTTTTTAAGAAAAACAGAATCAATTTCTTTACATATGTTTAAGTTATGTTGCTTTTTAGAAAACCTGACTTCTAAAAACATCCAGATGTAGATTTCTTACCTGGTAGGCTTTGTCTCCTTGGGTTGAAGTAGTAATCAGTGCACCTATGGGTCATTTACAGAGGATAGACTCTTCTTCTGACTTGCTATTGTACCTGCTGGAACTACTGCTCTTGTAGACAAGGAACAAAGCATTCTCTTGTGAAATGCAGGATGTCCTTAAAGGCAGGTGAAAACTGAGTCTTGTTCCCTCCCTGCAGCTCCAATGTCACATATTCTTAGTGATCACTTAGGATAGCCAAAGTTTCTTGTAAACAATATATTACTCAGTATTTTCATGGTAGTGCTGATTGATGATACCAAATCTATTTTAATCCATGTTCTGATTATGTAGTAACAGGCACATTTTACCATTTGTTTACCTATAAATACTGCTGTGAAAAAACTGTGAAATAAGACAATTCCATTTTTTCTGCATGGAAATCATAGGAGTAAAACTGGTAATAACTGTGAGATTCAGAGGCTTTATTTCTGCAGCATCATAGCTTAGCTATTCCTTCTAGACAGTTACAGATTAATGTTTGTATTGTATAAAACTTAAAGTTCGGATTTTATTTTTTTTGAAATTCAACCTCTCCATTTATTAAGTGCTGTGAGGCGTATGCCAATATGTGTTTATATGTATTTCTTGAAGAAGTAATGAATATTATTCAGTCTACAAAATGTTAAAACTGGTATTTCATCTCCCTAGGAAATTCTTACATATTAAGCAAAAGCACATAATTCCTCTTCCTCTGCTTTCACAATAAGATGGTTGTCTAAAGTGTTAGTGATTTTGTAACAAAACTCCACCAGGAGATAGGAAAGATACAACCAATTACATACATGATTGTGTTTGCAAGAAGCCCGCACTGATAAGCTGCCATTGCTTGGACTTGCTGGCTGCCTGCTTGCTCAAAAAGCTGTGGCTGTGAAAACTACATAGGTTTGTGTCAGTTTTATGCATGTAGTGTCATTCTGTTTGTTTCATTATTCAAAAAAAATTTCCTGGACTGACTGTTTAAATTGTACAAGATTAGCCCACCAATTCTGTATATTGTAAAGATAATCATGGTTCTATCCAAGGGAATCATTTTTTCATTCTGGCCTAGGTTTTGAAGGTTGGCATAGTGTGTGCAAATCGTACAAGAGTTTATCACAACTTGAAACACTTCAAGTACAAGTTGTACATGGATTGCAGCTCAGTTGCTGGATTGGATGGTGTAGGGGATGAACCAGTCAAAGACACTGTAGAGCGGCTTCTCAACCACTTGGAAGAGAGTGGGTGGATTCAGAAGGTATGACTGGGTTATTCCCTGTATTCTTTTCCAAGCAGATGAAAGTACGTTCAGATAAAATGTCTGATTTAATGGATCAGTTCTGAGTTACCGACTGTCAATAACACAACTCAGCTCAACCATTCTCCCATTTTTGCTGACCCAGTTTTTCAAACAGTGTTGTGCTGCTGTGCTCACACAGAGTTTGCATCAGCTTTTGACATGAAACTTTTTGACAGCTGCATGATCTCTAGGCTGTGGTGGGCAGGCCCTTGTTTCATTTGAAAGCAGCAACACAGCAAACTTGAGCTGTAACTTAGAAAGATGGGAAAGATGTACATGAGGCACAGCAAGAGTATTTTAAAATTCTGTTTACACTGAAGAACTTTGAATTGTTCAGAACGACTTCATGAAGTATTTTAAGACAATTTGTAGTACAATTGCATTTAGTATGCTTTTAGATATAGCTTCTAAATCATTATTGACATACTTGGTCATGTGTTGAACAAGAAAAAGCAGTCTTTACATAATACAGTTAGTAAACATTGATAAATTGTAAAAATTTTATTTCATTCACAGAAATATGATGGTCTTGAAGATTACATGGAAGATGCAGACAATTTTCAAGAAGAGAAAATTGATTAAGAGGTCATAGAGCTCTTTGGAAGACATCTTCAAAAATGTGAATGGCCTGCTTCGTATGTATGCACTTTATGTCTGCCTGGACTTCAAGATTTCTCTGTAGGCTGTTAACACCCAAATTCATATGCCTTTAAATTACTGTTTGATAATGTGCTGTATCTTTTTTTCTCATCTGTGTCAATATAAACCCAAAGTTTTATCAAATCAGTCCTTACAGTCTTACTGCATTGATCACTAAGTTTTCTACTATTAGAAATATCAGTTCAATATCTATTTACTTGTGAACTAAAACTTCCACCTATTTAGATTGACCTGCATTGTAGGGAACATAGAAGATCTTTTAAAGTGGGTATATTTGGAAAGGTAAGGCTTTGTTATACAAGAACTTAGGACTTGCATCTTACCTTCTATATTGCTCATGTGCAAGTAAGTTCAGTCAGTTAGAATGATAGTTACAGCAAACAGGACCCAAATACAAAGATCTATTTCTCCACTGAGGAATCAGTACAGACAGTTGCAAGGCAACAGAGGAAATATTCTGCAGTCCTGACTGCATTTGCAGCACAGTAGTCATTCCTCTTGAGAAAGTAGGTGATGAGTCACAGTATGGGCGTCATACAGACTGAGTCTGGCTTAGCCATCTAAATGAACACATGGGCCCACATTGCTGTCTTTGATAAGCAGCTGGGACAATTTACTGAGATTTTAAACATCAGGTTACATTGTGCAAACATAATGGCAGCAAATTGGAGTAACTGCAGTCCTAAGAGATTGGATTAATATGCCCATGCAAGATAAGCAAGAATTCTCCCGGTGTAACTTAACAGAAAGTAGGAGTTAGTCAGAAACAGGATGCATGGCTTACCAGAATTACACAAAACCCAAATCAGAGTAGATTTTCAAGGATTTAGGAAGGGTTAAGTATGGTACTGTCCATTCTGAAAAATTGGACAAGAACTGTAAACATGTACTTGAAGCCCAGAAAGGTAACTGTGTCCTGGGCTGCATCCAAAACAGCATGGCTAGCAGGCTGAGGGAGGTGATTCTACCATTCTACTCTTATGAAACCCCTACCTGCAGTGCTGCATCCAGCTCTAGGGTCCCAGCACAGGAAAGACCGGGTGTGCTGGAGCAAATCCAGAGGAGGGTCACTAAATTGATCAGAGTGCTGGCTGTAGATAAGCTGAGAGAGTTGGAGTTGTTCAGTCTGGAGAAGGGAAGGCTCTGGGAGACCTTGCAACCTTTAAGTATTTAAAGGGGGCCTACAAGGAAGATGAAGAGGCTTTTTACCAAGGCCTGTAGTTTTACTAAGTCCTAACAGGACAGCAAGTTTTAAACTCAGAGAAGGTAGGTATAAAAGGACATATGGAAGAATTTTTTTACTGTGAGGTAGGTGAGGCACTGGCACAGGTTGGCCAGAGAAGGTGTGGATGCCCCACCCCTAAGAGGGTGCTAAGGTTAGGTCAGGATGGGGTTTTGAGAAACCTGGTATACTGAGAGATATGCCTGGCCATTATGATCCTTAAAGGTCCCTTCCAACCCAAATTATTCAGTGTTTCTATCCATGTATTTTGGGCTGCATATAAAAAGAATTAGATATAGCTTAAGATAAAATGCAGGGCACAGCGTTTTGAAACCTTCATGTTGCTGAATGCCCTGTTAGTTTTTTTTTTGGCTTAACAACTTAGTGAAAGATACTGTTAACACTATGAATCCTTTTAACAGGTTACTCTCTCAGCAGCAAAACTAATGGAACCTGATTTCTCATAGATTTGTCCTTAAGAAGTCACTACATTTATTTTGCCACTTTACTGGGAACAGATAGGCTAATTGCGTAGGCACCTGCTGCCAGGTGTATTGCTTGACAGTGAACATCTGCTGCCTTTTTTACATAGAGACTGTACCTTAGATTCATCATTCACTGCCCTTTTTTCAGCATTCATTGTGAGAAATTAACTGCTTTTGCTTTGTTAAGGACTTGAAATTGAGCAATGTTTTAAATGCTATTAGGGTGAGTTAGTGGCATCAGTATTCCTTTGTACCACGTACAGATACAAGATAGACAAAACCAAGATGAAAATTTCCAGCGAATTTGATTGAGACTTGCTCTCAAGTAAACTTACATTGAAGATACTCTTTCCATGCCTTACCTGTTAGACACAAACTTCTGAGGTTTGGTATGTCTTATATCTATCTTCCTGGTTACCAAAGCCAAAGGTTTCCTTCTCTATTTCTTCTCCTCCCTCATCTCTGTTCCCCTGGGAATATTGGTGGAATATACCCATCAACTTAAAATACTCAGGAATTCATCTTGAATATATCCCTTTCAGTTATTGATACCTCAGTTCTTTCTGTTAACAAAATCTCTGTATAGTTTGGTTTGCTTCTCTATAACATACATTTGGTGTGAGTTTATTCTTACAAAGGAAAATCATTCTGAAATGAGTACTGTACCATGTAGTGGAGTATGTCCTCTTAGAGCCTTCCTGACTAATCCTTATTTTTGCTACTTTATGAATTTTCTGAAAACTCTTGAGACTATGATTTTGCTTAAAAATTTTGTTGTCAAAATCTCTCATTTTGCTACATTAAAACAATTCACTACCAAAATAAAGAATAAGTTAGTGAAACTCTGGCTTGCTGATTACAGGTACTATTTCAAGAATAAATACAGTTTGATTGAAAATTGAAATGGTCCATTCTACTTACTTTTTGATATCCCAGGTTTCTCACCTCCTCTTCATTCACCGAAAAAGCATGTGCTATCTACAGCATTTTTTTTCCAGATCAATTTTTTTTCTGTTGCTAGCAGAGATACAAAAGTATTCTGATGGAACTTCTTGGTAGAAAGTGCTTCCATAGGTTTACTAATCTTGGCTGTGGTATCAGCAGTGGGACCAAGAAAATGCCTTAAAGTGAAATCATTCTTCTGTTTCAGTAAGGAAGAGATATTTGATTTGGCAGGAGCTGATGTTTTTGTGTGTTAAACTCTGATATTCCCCTCACTGAGATGGGAGGAAGTGATAATATTTTTGTGGCTGCTGTTCTACCTGAAGCGTTTCTAAAAGACGTTCTAAAACATGAAGTGTCATTACATCACTTTTACATTTATCTTCATCACAGGAAGTTAAAAAATTGTTTAGAATAAATATGTAAAAATTTAGATCAGTTTTTCTAGGTCTGTCTGCAAATGCTAGTCCACCATGAAGCACAAAGAACACTCTTACCCCTGAGATTTTCTATATATAGAAATAATCAATAAAAATATTTCTAGCAGAAAAAAAAATTGTGCAAATATCTAATGATGGGAGAAGTTAGAAATCTGACCAGTCTTTCATGGTTTTTTTTCCAAATCAGAGAAGTTGAATGGAGCTAGGTGAGAGAATAATTTTTTTTTCCAGTAGAATATTTTAAATTGTTTTTAGTGTTAATTTGTGAAGAAGTAGCTCTAATCAAGATAAAGTACCCGTCTTAATGGAACAATGAAGAGCTCAGTATGTGATTAGACTTTGAATAGGTGATTAATGATCATACTTGGAAATTATTTTAGTTCCTGCAATGTTTTGATAATCTGCTCTAGTTTAAGTTCTGTAACTGGAGACAATGGTAATGATGAAGTTCACACAGGTATTTATGCACAGGATCAGGCTAAGACGATGGACTTCTGGGACAGGAGGTTCTTTTTGGTCTATATTCTGTCCAGTTCTTGCAGCAAAAAATGAAAAGAAACTATTTTTCTCCCTGTGTCCTTCAGTTTTTGAAAATAAAGTTGTTTGCTAGTAGTAGATAGCTGTTACTGTCGCTTTTTTGACAGTGAAGGCTTCTCCTGTTTCCAAAAAGCAGCTATTTTTAGCACTTCAGCAGGCAATTACAGGCAATTCCCATGCTTAACTCCTCTAGTTTACATTTATTTGGATAAATAAAGGCTTCTAGTTTTATGCTTTTTTAAGTCTGTCTGGATAAACAGAGTGGGCTAGTGTGCATGTGTGCTACACAAACACTTGTAAATACAATACCATTCCAACAGAAATAACCAGCACACAAAGTAGACTTTAAAAAATTGCCTTTCTGATTCTGCTTTGAGAAGAAAGAAATACCAATTTCTAATCTGTATTTAGAGGTAAGACAAAAGAATGTAAAAAAGTATGACTTACCAGCCAAAGAATAATATAAGAAATATGTGAAATTATATTAAAAAAAACCTGATAATAACCGTCAGTGGCTCCACTTCCCTGAATAGTTGATGTGAATTTTGGTAATTGTCTGGGTAGTAAGTGGTGGCATGTGATTGTTCAGGGTTTGTTCCCCTATTGTTTATTAAACAAACAGTTTCCTTATTAATTATTATTAGTTAAAACAAAAACAACAACAAAAAAAAAACACAGAAATTCTCTGTTCAAGATTGCTTACTTTATAGTTTAACAGAGCAGCAATTACAAGCACCTTGTGCCCAAAATTTAAAGGCAAGAAAACTGACTCAGGTGCAGTCAGACTCTGCTTCAAAGTTTAACAATTTGCCAGGTGGGCAGCATCATACATGTTGTATGCTGGGAATACCCCAGGAACTCAAAATGGCACAGAACCCTCACTGAAAAGTAAATTATGGAAATGGCTGAAAATTCAAAGCTCCGAGTTCAGAAAGTCCTCTGTAGGACTGATATTAAGTATGTGCTCTTCAGTGGAGTTAATACAACTTTGAAGCAATTTAATATGTGATTTCTAAATACAGATGAACGAGGCATGTGCCGAAACTGAAGCACGCACTCAAGATTTTAGGCGACACAGGTTCAGCACAGTCTTTTTGTTCCATTTTTGGAAAGTTATTAGCACGATGGGATGTCTGTGGTGAGAATTCCTGGCTGTGAACCCGGCACAAATAAGTGTTTTTCTCATCTGGAGGGAGCTGCTGGTTTGGGAAACTCAGAGCTTCAAGAGCAGTAGGGTACTCACACAGAAAAAAATGATCGAGCATGACAGTTCATGCGAGATTACAATGTCAGGTAAAAAGGTAACAAATTAGTGTCCACAGAAGGAACAAAGTAATTAATTGTTCAAGAACCTGTAATGTTGTTTTATCCTGAGTTCACTTACGAGAATGCCACTAATCATAAGGGATGTTACAAGGTGTTAAGAACCGTTTGCTTTTAAGAAAACTGACGAGCAACCAGTCCAAAACTGATGGCCGTATCCAGGGGCTGGTGACATTCGCCAGGGTCTTCTGAGCAAAACTTGGAAAGGCGAGGAATGGCTGTGGGGTATTTCCTGCTCAGAAACACCAGGGGCAGCATTTGCTGCCGATTGAGCGAGCGGGGCTCTGAGCGCAGCCCCGCAGCCGGCTGCTTCTCGCCTCGAAAGGGAGAGATCGAACCACAAACCGGACTCTCAGGATGCTGCTTGGCATAAAGCGAATCTTGAACGTTTCAAGTTAAAATGAAAAAAATCTTTGTTTGGAAAGATGACTCTCCGAGTTCCACAAAATCTTGGAAGAGAGAGAAAGAGAATTCCTCCAGCTGCCTTGGTAGCTTCCGGAGCAGCACCATGGATTTCATATTCCCACAGCCACTCTGAAAACCCCAGCCAAGCCGTCATTTCAAACACTCTTGCTTATTCTCCATGAGATTCGTGTGTTGCTGTTGCACGTGTGTTCTGTGACTGACCCCCCCTTAAACACAACAGTGATATCTGAGCTGTAAAGAACAAATAAAAGCCTAAGCAAGGCCTGAAGCAAAGGTAACGTCTACTATTTTACAAACATTATAATTTCATTTTATTTTCCAGCTGTGCCAACCCACTGTTCTCAACAGATGCAAGCTACTGTTATGTATCAAATAACCCACTCTTCCTCAGTTGTTCAAGGTTAAACAACAACAACAAAATCTCTTTTTCCTGTTAGCAATAAAGCCTTCCTCTGAAGGCAGCCCAGCCCCAAATCCTTTCCCCCAGACCTTATCCCTCAGCAAAGTCTCAAAGCATTTGCTGAGACAAACATGGATCTGAACGTGCTGGAGGCTCTGGCCAGTGCTCACCAAGCCAGAACTTGGAAACCCACATCTTGCAATAAATCCTCATGTTTGTTGCCACATGAAGGAGATGGGCATCATGAAAGTGGGGGCTTTTATATTTCCCATATGTCTAATGCTGCATATCTTTTATATTCTGGGGGATTTCCCAGGAATGTGTCGCTTCATCACTGGCATTCAAAGTATTTATTTGCATGACCTTGGAAGGGGATAAAAACACCTGAGAGTGTTATTGTTGGCTACTCCTCATATTCAGCTTAATGGTCTTAGTATGCTGAGATGATATTTGTGTATTTTTCTGACTGGACCCGTTGCAGCACTGAAAGAGATAATGCACCCATCTACTAAGGGCTGTACAATCCCAAAAGACCTTGGAGGTTTTCCATCGGGGATGTGTCTCTGCGTGCTTGGGGGCCATTTTTATTCCCAGAGGTATTTGGGAATTTGGCTAATGCAGCCACAGTAGTACAACAGCATGTTGCTTTAATAAAGCCGGCCAGCTCCCAGCTATTTCTGCATCCTCCTTTACAGCTCACCTACAACAGCACGCAGAACCTGACGGCTGCCAGTTGCAGCAAGGCCAGTTCCAGGGGCCGGATCTCGTCGTCTAAAATTGCCCTGCTCTAAACAGAGGAGCCGGGCGAGAGAAGCACTAAGCCTGCGGCTTTCCCGGGGAGGAACCACAGTGCAGGCGCTACGTGACTTGCCCCGGACACCCAAGAAGCTCCTTGTCAGCGGCAGAGCTCCCACATCCCGAGCCTGACCTCGTGTCGTGCACTCGTCCCGTGCATGCGAGCGCCCTAGAACGCACTGCTTGTTCTTATACCGTCTGTTCCAGAGAAATCCAGCTGGTAGAGGAGCGCAGCGCCGTGATTTATTTGAGAACTCCCTCGTACTCGGCTGAAGGTCTCGTCGCCGGGGGAGGAGGCAGAGGCTGCGCTCCTCGGCAGCTGCTCCGCTGCTCGGCCCGGCACCCAGGTAGAGGGCGAGGAGGGGAGAGGGGATTTCCTCGGCTTCCTCCCATGCACATACCTCCCGGGGAGCGGCAGCGGCCCGACTCCCCTCGGTGGCCGCTGGGAGGCTCCGCGCCTCGCCCCGGCCTCCTGGGCGCCGCGTCCCCGGCCGCGCTCCCTGTCGGTGACACCCGCCTCCCGCCCCCGCTCCGCTCCGCGCCCCGCCGCGCCGCACGGAGGGGCCGCGGGCAGCTCCGGCACCGGCAGCGCCGACAGCCCACCGGCAAACACCCGCCCGCCGGAGCGGGCATGGAATATACAAAAACACAAAGGAAAAGTGGCTGCTGGACTGTTCTGGGGGCAAAATGCTGGAAGTTTGTAAGTGCAACTCTCCGTTTGTAATTACTGTCTGAAGAGGGGCTGGGTTGCTTGTTTGGGGTTTTTTTTTCCTCTTCCCCTTCTCCCCCCTCCTCCGTGCTTTTCTTGAAACTGTACTTGAAACTGTTCAATATCTGGGAGTAAAAGGGAAAGTACGCGAGAGGAGTTCTTTGCCTGGGTCCGTAGCTTGCTGCTTAATATACTAAGGGGGGAGATGAGCACTGAAAGCAATACGGATTTATCCAGTGCCTGAATTAAGTGAAGGCGAAGCGTGGTTTGGAAGT